AAATCTCCTGAAAGCACCTTTGTTGGGCTTACTTTGGAAATGTAGGGAGTGTGGTGGTTACCACTTCCTGATCTGGCCCTTATTTATGCTCTTCAGTAGAAATTTCCTTCTTTGTGTGTGAGAAATAGATGTTTAACAGCCAGCACAAACCAAAGTATATAGTGATCAGTTCTCTTGCTTATTTAACTTTGTAGGTTTCATCTTCCTCATTTCCTGTTTTACACTATCAATCAGGTAATTTCACTTGAAACTACCACAGGTACTCAACGCAACCATTTTCAAAGTTAGACTCTTCATTCTAACCCAAGAACTTACCTCTATTACTTTCTCTATTTTGGTGAGTTGTATCAAAACTGCCTACATTTCCAAAACATACTGAATTTCATCAACTTTACCTCCTCACACAACTGGCTACTATTTGCCAGTCATTTCACCACCCTTAATTCCCACTGTTACTACCTGAACTTGGATTTTCATCTTTGTATGTGTGTGTGTATAGAAACTCTTTAATTTATATTTTGATGTTAAAACATGCCTTCTTCCATCAGTCTCCCATGTTGTTACCAGTTATATCTCTAAACATAAATGTTGTCATATTACTGTTACATCATATTCTATTTAAATAACTCTCCCAAAATTGCAAGATAAAACTCCTTCTTAGTGTTGTATACAAAAGTTCTTTGATTTGCCTAATATTTCTGACATCTCTTCTCATGCATCCCATATTTCTTTTATATTGGGACCACAAGTTCCTTGAAAGTAAAGTCTATGGAAGTTTAATCTTTGCACTAACAGTGCATAGCACTTAATGCATATTTACTTATTGAAAGGATAAATAGAAGGATTAATGCAAGAAGAATCCATCTTTTCTGAAACAGAAAAAAGAAAGCATAAAACAATGTAAACAAAAAAATCAAATAAATTTTACTGAAAGTTGGTCTATCTAATCCTCCAACAAATAAAATTCATTTAAAGCTGTAATGCTTTACAGCTTTAGGCAGTGTTTAATATTCATATTAGTCAAATAATTACATGATAGTTATTTATGGTGATAAAACTGTTCAGTATCTTGATTATGGTGGTGGATACACAAAACAAACCTACACAGGTTTTAAACTGTATAGAACTTAATACACACACACACACATACACTAGTTCATATAAAACTGCGGAAATGTTAATAAGATCTGTGGATTGTATCAATATCAATATCCTGGTGGTGAAAAATAATAATTTTAAAAGAGTTACCATTGGGGGAAGCTGGGCAAGGTATACGAGGGATCTCTCTTTATTATTATTTATTACAATTTCATGTGAATGTACAATTATTTCAATAAAAAAATGTATCATCTTAAAATGTTAAATTACTTCCAATATATTTTTGCTTAATATACATTGTTATAGTATTTTGAATATTCCAACATATTTCCAAGTTAAAACTAAAAATGGTCCTCTCCTTGAGTACCCATTACACTTATCACAATGTGACCTGGATGGTGCTACACTTATCTTTCTCCCTTGCCAGACCATGAGCTTCATGAATGGAGAAGCCTTGTCTGTTCTTTTTGTATATCTATTGTTTATCACGTTCCTTAACACTCACTAAATGCCCCATAACACATTATCTAATTATCTACTATTTCTAAGGAAATAATAGGATGTTACAAGGAATTGTAAAGAATCAAAGTGAACTCAGTGAGTAATTTTAATCTATCTTTACCTCATTTTTCTCCTTTGTAAAATGAGTTGTGTTATATAATGGACCAATATCAGTCTGGCTGATCAGAGTGAGCACTAATAATTAACACCTTTCATAGACCAATGTTTTATGGTTTATGTAGGTCATGCTTTCATAGGTACTATGATTTTATTCTCAGTATAGCTTCACAGCTTACTTACAACAAGATAGACCAACCTAGCCCAGAAGAGAGTTCTTATTAAAACATCTCTGAAATGCAGCTGCTGGAAGTCTGAGGAGTCTGAGAAGTGCTCTTCAGTTCTAGCAGCTGCCTACCAGTTTTGTCCTTTGCTGTTTCTGGTATGCTAGCTATCCAAACCAAACCTATCGCCATCAAGTCAATTCCAACTCATAGTGATCCTACAGGACAGAGGCGACCTGCAGCATAGGGTTTCCAAAGAGGGGCTGGCAGATTTGAACTGCCATCCTTTTGGTTAGCAGCCAAGCTCTTAATCACTGTGCCACCAGGGCTCCATGCTAGCCATAGTTGGTATTTATTGCATTAACAGTATACACACGGAATTAAAATCTAACATTTAGTTTGAGATAAATTAATGTTTTCACTCCACATGCTTGCTTGTAAGTAAGGTTCATGGCCCAAGCCTTACTTCCCCAGAAACCAAACCAAATACATTCTACTATATATTAGATGATGTCCAAAGTCCACTTTATACTTTAAATCAAACAAATGCGAATTACAGTTATAGTACAATTACATGGGAAGTATAACTAAGACCTTGTTCTAAAAATGGAAAATAAATATTTTTGAACTGTATATTTTTGTCTCTAAGTTTATTTGCTTATTTTTTGTATATTTATTATTTATCCACTGTTTCCTTACAAAAATAATTTTAAGATTGCTGAAAATAGAAGTTTTGCATTTAGGATAAGAGATCAGCAGCTCTATAACTACAGAAGGACAGTTGAAATAGTAACATTAGTGACCAATGCAGTATATACAGTGCATAAATGTGCAAATATTTACTTATGAGCATCTTGGAAGCCAAGAAAAAGTGTTAAACAGTTTTCAGTGTATCATAAATGCAAATAAAGCCATTCTTCCTGAGAATCAAGCATTTTTTGTCTAGTACTTTCTAAAGAAAAAATTTCATCAGACTGGATATATGTAATGGATTGTGAATATTGTAAGTGATTTTTTCAGTATAGGAGTTTGAAAAATGGAAACAAAGAGCTTCTTAAAAGATTTGATTTAAATTGCACACAATAAAATATAAGTATTATACTAGATAGAAATTCTGTAATGTACTTATACAGAGGATGAAATAATAAATTACTTTTTCTGGTGATATACTTGGCAGAATAATAAAGAAAGAATAGACTATTATCCTTCCTCTTTGATTATCACCATTAAATGGCTTCCTTAGGATTTTAACAAGCACTGTAGAGGAAAAAAATTGAAATTCATTAATTATTTCATTAAAAATTAAGATCTGAGTAACTGAAATGTTCCCTGAAAATATAATGATCATATCCGTGATTTAATTTAATTGTAAATAAAAGGAGTTAGACATACATGACCTTTCTTCATTATTTGCTCTGGGTGAATACTGACCCACTTTTCAGCTTGAGCAGAGCTTTCTTCACTTCCTTCTTCCTCAGGGTGTACACAACAGGATTCACAAGGGGTGTCAGCACCGTGTAGAAAACTGCCACAACCCCATCCACAGCATCCTTGGAGCCTGGCCTCAGGTAAATGAAAACACAGGGAACAAAGAAACAAAAGACCACGATGCAGTGGGAGGCACAGGCCTGGAAGGCTCTGTGTCTCCACTCCGCGGTGCGAATCTTCAGGATGGAGCAGACAATGGACACGTAGGAGAGCGCTATCAGGAGGAAGCAGCCAGAGGCTACTACTACAATGTTGACGAAGATGACCATCTCTTTGGCGGACGTGTCTGCACAGGGGAGTTTGAGGAGGGGCGGCGCTTCGCAGAAGTAATGCTGGATCTGGTTGGGCCCACAGTAGGGCAAACGAAATGTCAAATCGTCTGGACAGCAGAGTGCAGACAGAAACTGAGCCAAGTGCTGGTGGCCAGGAGGGCACACCTTCTCCCACTCATCATGCTGGTGTACCTGAGCGGGTAACTGATGGCCAGGTAGCGATCATAGGACATGACTGTGTAGAGGAAACACTCGGTGCTGCCCAAGAAGTGGAAGGAATAGAGCTGGGCCCCGCAGCTGTGAAAGGAGATAGCCCTTCCCTTTGGGGAGACGAAGGTTGTCAGCATTTTGGGCACAGAAACAGTGGAGAACCACATGTCAATGAAAGTTGTTATTAGGCTCAAATTTGACATTTCTTCTCATATATGGAACTCTTTCCAAAAAGAAGGAGCCCTGGTGGCATGCAGTGGTTAAGCTCTCAGCTGCTAACTGAAAGGTTGGCAATTTGAACCCATCAGCTGCTCCTTAGGAGAAAGATGTGGCAGTTGGCTTCCTAAAGATTTACAGCTTTGGAAACCATAAGGGACAGTTATACTCTGTCCTATAGGGTCACTAAGAGTCAGAATCTACTTGAGGGCAGTGGGCTTGGTTTTTAGTTTTTGTCCTTAAAGAAAGGAAACAAATTTACTCATAATATATTTCATATGAAATGTGTAACTACATATTCTCTGATGGAGAACATAAAAGCTAAATTGCCTTTTATCTTTTACATAGCCATTTGCAAGAAAGTTAGGCATTGCAGAGAAATGATTGTTTCCTTATTTCAGTACCACATAAAATCAGCTGAATAGAGGAGTAATGTTGTATTTTTTCTATAGAATTAGAAAAGATAGATCCAATCTCACCACCCATCTGTCAGTTTGTTGTACTTTGGTGGCTTCTGTGTTGCTATGATGCTGAAAGCTATGCCACCAGTATTTCAAATACCAGCAGGGTCACCCATGTTGAAGCTTCCAGACTAAGATGGTCTAGGAAAAAATTCTGGTGATCTAGTTCTGGAAATCAGCCAGTGAAAACCCTATGGATCACAATAGTCTGATTCACAACCAATCGTGGGAATGGTGCAGGACTAGGCAGAGTATTGCTCCAACGTGCATGGGATGCCCATGAATCGACGCTGACTCAACAGCTAAGAACAGCAACCTACCCAAACTAGCAAGTACCCAGTAGTTGGCAAACTTCTTTCAGAATTAAGCTTTTATTCAAGCATCTTTCTCTTTTTCTGTCTGACGAATACACACACACACACACACACACACGCACAATTTTCGAATATACAGATTCAGTCTTTTTGATCATCAGAGAATTATCCATTATAAATATAAAATTTTAAAGAAATTTTCATCCTGGATGACTGAGAGAAAATTGGCCTTGTTAATA